AACTAAATATAATGATCATGTTTGTGACTCTTAGAGAAAGATTTGAAAGCAAGGCAAGACTATCCAAACCATGTGCAACTTAAATTACGATTGTTCAAATAATTCTCCTAACAGTTGCTCTCTGAGTCCTTTGTTTAATTATGTGAGTAAAAACTCAAAACATTATCTGCAGCAGGTAAGATATTAATGGCTCACAACATTTTCCCCAAACTCCCACTTCAGAAGATTTGAACTATCCCTGCTCACTGTACCTGGTATGTCTGGTAGCTTATGGCGATTCCATATCTGCAGTACATGACGTAGTGTTCACAGTTGTACCACAGTAAGCTATAGCAGACAGAACCCAGGAGCTTCTCGGCCCTCCGTGCCACCTCTTCTTCATCCAGCGGAGGCTGTCTGCACACTTTATCCATGTGGTTGATGAGAATTTTTGAACCATAAGCAAAATCTGCCACCGAGTCCACTCTCACACTGGCCACCTTGGTGATGACCCCCAGCAGCAAGCGGTGATTTGTCACCATCTTGGCAATGGCTGATTTATCTTTGGTAACTGCAGGTAGGATGTCTGGAATGAGATGAGCCACCCGGTTGTTGCCCAGGTAAATACCAAAGTGTGTGAACAAAGTCCTGGGCACCTCCAACAGATCACCTCGCTTGTACTGAGACAGCTCATACTTGGAGTCCTCCTCTTTGTTCGAGGCTGCAAAGAAAAAGTTGAGCAGCTGGTAGAGAAACATGATGGCAGCATGAAGCAAGCCCACCGAGTGCCGAAGCTTGTATTTATCGTGGAAATGGGAGGGGTGAGGTTAGTTAGTAGGATTAAATATTGGTCAATGTTCAAGTAAAGTTCTGGGGATGAATAAGGAGCTTTTTCTAATCACTTCGTTATGTGGCTGCATTTCAGAACTCGAGCATTGTTTCCAGTGTATTTGGGTCATACTCACTGAAGAATGCCGATTGGGCTGTGAGTTAAAGCCTCTTTTTAAAGGTCACGCACACTGAGCCATCTCACCCTGATAAATAACCTTTGTCACGGACGGAGGAGTCTTCAGCTGGTTAGCTCTCAGAATTAATCAGATCTTATAACAATAAAAACTGTTTTACAAGTTATTTTATTAAAAACTGCACATATGTTGAAATTTTGTATTATTGTACTCCTGCAGGCTGTTAAAGGATTGTTAGCAGCAAATTGAAAATATTGTTGACAGCCTCTTTTTTGCAATGTCATTTACACACACGTTTATTGTTGATTCAGATACTTTTATTATTCCGCAATGAACCCTGAAACCAAACAGCTTTGCTGCAGCTGTGGAAACAAATGAAACAGATCCATACACGACACTGACAAATAAAGTTTTGATCAAGTTCTTGTCGTATTAACAGTCTTTGAGCCTTCTGTCAAAAACTATGAACATGTAAGCATAAAAATTTCTGCTTTTAGTCCAATTAGTTTTTTTGTTGAACTCAGAATGGAACAAAAACAAAGCCCCTCAAACTGATGTATAAGTAACGTTAAAAATAAAGCATCTTAAAACATGATTTACTCAGCATCGTTCGAACAATAAATGTGGTTACAAAGCACAAGTTCAGAGTTTCTTGTGCATCTCTGTGAGCTTTTCAGTGAGAGTCCTCCAGTTAGTTCAAGTGCAGTTCAGTTTCTTTACAGGTTAACTCTTCCACTCTACTTTCACCAACCATCCACAGAATGAAGGGGATCAGAATTGTGGGTAATGTAGTTGTAAGTGTCATGCTAAAGTAGACAATTAGATGTTTCCTCAAGGTTTTAATATACAGACCCTTTCCAAAAAATTAGAATATCATGGAAAAGTTGTTTAACTTCCATAATTCCATTCAAAAAGTTAATCTTTAATAGATGATAGATTCAGGGCCCACAATTTAAACACTTTCAAGTATTTATTTGTTTATTTTTACATAAGTTGGGCTTCCAGCTCATGAAACCCATGAAAACAGGATTAAAAAAAAATTAGAATACTGTGGAGAAATCAGCCCAAATGTTGCAGGGCATGAATGGTTTAAACTTCGTGTGACACTAATCATCTAAACTCAAAGCACCTGCACAGGTTTCACCAGGCGTCATTAAATTGCTTCAGTTTGGTTCAATTGTCTCAGTTTGGTTCAATATGGGGAAGACTGCAGACATAACTGGTCAGAAGACCATCATCCCACTGCTGGCTGCCTCCCAGTCTTGTATTTTGGATTCTTCAACCACAGTCAATGAAAACAGGAAATTTCTTTCTAAGATGTTTTTTTTTTTTTTTTTTTTTAATTACTATTCTTTGACTTGCATGTCAGCTTTTTGGACGGTTATGCTGATTAGCATCCAATGAGAGCCAATGAAGAGTTTGTGAGGGGTGAATGACTCCATGGCCTGAATGTCCTGAATGCTCATTAATTCCGGGTCAGTCGTGTTTGTTTGATGATCTAAATGTCCCAGCCTGAAGAAAAACGATCCTTTGACAAGATTACATTAATCGTGTAGGCTTCAGTCACACACTAATTGTTTATTTAGGCAGCACAACAGCTTAGTGGTTAGCGCTGTTGCCACACACTGAAAAGAACCAGTCCCTGGATTGGACCTGAGTTTTTTTCTGCGTGAAGTTTGCATATTCTCCTCATGTTTGCGTGGGTTCTCTCTGTGTACTCAAGTTCCTTCCAATGTCCAACAACATGCATTTTAAGCTGCTTCTGGTCCAGGCCTCTCGCAAAAAAGATCTGTGATCTCAACGGGATCTGCCTGGTTTAATATCCGCTAATAATTCGAGAGAATACTTTGGCAAATACTACTGTCCTTTATGCCTGAGTCCTCTGTCATCTGTGTGTGTGCATGTCTGTGTATGAGTGAGTGAATGAGTAGATAATAAAGAGTTCATTTTACCACTAATAAACTTTAAACAAATGGGTATAATATTCTGTATCCTTTTAGTTTAGTTGGTGTGTCATCGATGCCTTAACAAACCAAACTTTCAACAAATGAAGTTAAGACTAAATCAATTCTGACTATTCTTGGCTAGTACTTTTAACAAATAGTGGTCACTTTAAAGCTAAATTTTACTAAAGAATAAATCTTAAGTTGGACTTGGGAACTCAAGCTCAAAATAAACAGTGGGAAGCCCTTTTTTCCCCTCACTTCTGACAGACACGTTTAGGACTTGCTCCGAATTTTCTGCTTTTCTTAACTCTATAAGTTTATATGGAAAAATTCAATCATTTAAAATAATGCTATGAAATATCACGATCTTCCTTCCTCTTGTGAAATTGTTGGTTATTAAGGTTCTACGTGGTGTGTGGACAACAAATTGATAATATGAGTCACACCACATTCAGCTGAGTCGACTTATGGTCTGTGGCCCACAGCTGAACCCTGATGTGGCATTAAAATAAAGCCCCGTGTGCAGAAAAAATGTCTGCCAGTGGCTAAAATAAACTTTGAGCTGAGGCTAATGGGGGACCCCAATAAGACTCCTCCTTTATAGAAAACCTGTTAATTATAGACACTTGTTTTTTCAGAGTCAGTTTTATTGTCATTTCAGCTACGTACAAGTACATATTGAAACAAAACGCAGAACAAAGCAATACAACACACTGTGCAGATACACAACAGTACAATACATACAAACAGACCTATAATAAATGCAAAAATACATCTAAACTAATCTAAACATTACAATTTAAACACATAGTTAAAAGACAAGATCGAGACACATGTTGGTTAGTAAATGTGTAGGTGGACATGAGGTAGAAACATGTTCTGACATGTGGTTAGCAGTTTAAAGTTTTCCTTTTTATAGCAGCAGAGATATAAAACGTGTAAGGTGCAAACTTATTTCCCCTGTAGTTTCTACAACTCTGTGCATCACTTGTTCTTAAAAATGGGCACCAGCACACTTATTCTCCATTCCTCAGTAATTTTCTCACCCTCGTATATTCCATGGAATATTTGAGTCAAAAACCTCATTGCCATCTCTCCAAGACATTTCCAAACCTCCACTGGTATGTCATCACGTCCTACTGCCTTCCTCTTCTTCATTCTTTTCAGAGCTTTCCAGACTTCACCCTCTCTAACCTTTCCCACTTCCTCGTCCACAGTTTCTATGACCTCTACTCTTCTTCCTGATTCATTCATTAGCTCCTCAAAGTACTTCTTCCATCTTCCTGTCACACTGTCCTCACTTGTTAGAACGTTACCATTCCTATCTTTAATAAGCCTAAGCTGCTGCACATCCTTTCCAGCCTGATCCCTCTGTCTTGCCAACCGGTACAAGTCCTTCTCGCCCTCTTTAGTGTCCAGCCTCCCATACAACTCATTGTACGCCCTCTGCTTTGCCTTAGCTACTTCCCTCTTTGCTCTACATCCCATCTCCTTATATTCCTGTCTCCTCTTCAGTCCTCTCACTGTCCTGTTTCTTCTTGGCTAATCTCTTTCTTTGAATGACGTCCTGCATTTCACTATTCCACCACCAGGTTTCCTTATCATCCATTCTCTGTCCAGATGACACACCAAGTACCTTCCTATCTGTCTCTCTAATTACTGTTGCTGTAGTAGCCCAGTCATTTGGAAGCTCTTTCTTACCACCCAGAGCCTTTAAAAGCTCCTTTCTGAATTTCTCACATTTTTCTTTCCTCAGCTTCCACCATTTTGTCGTCTTCTCTGATTTTACTCTTTTTCTCTTCTTCACCACAACAGTCATTCTACACATAAACATTCGATGCTGTCTGGCCACGCTCTCCCCTGCCACAACCTTACAGTCTCCAATCTCCCTCAGGTTTCCTCTTCTACACAGAATGTAGTCGACCTGCTTAGTCCTTCCTCCACTCTTATAAGTCACTCTATGTTCCTCCCGCTTTTGGAAACAAGTGTTGACTACAGTCATTTCCATTCTCTTGGCAAAATCCACCACCATCTGGCCTTCCTGGTTTCTTTCCTTGACACCATACCTACCCATCACTTCCTCATCCCCTCTGTTTCCTTCACCAACATGTCCATTCAGGTCTGCTCCGATCACCACTCTCTCCTCCCTGGAATACGTACTCGCTATCACTTGAAGAATACTCTCTATCACTTCATCCAGATCTTTCCAAAATGTATATTTCTCCTCCTCATCACATCCAACCTGTGGAGCATAACCACTGATGATGTTGAGCATTAGACCTTCTACTTCTACCTTCAGGCACATCACCCTATCTGACACTCTCTTCACCTCTACTACATTATTTGCCAACTCCTCCTTCAGGACCACCCCTACTCCTTTTCTCTTTCTATCCACACCATGGTAAAATAGTTTGAACCCTTCTCCAATGCTGCAAGCCTTGCTGCCCTTCCACTTGGTCTCTTGGACACATAAAACATCTACCTTCCTTCTCTGCATCATGTCAGCCAGCTCTCTACCTTTGCCTGTCATTATCCCCACATTTAAAGTTGCAACCCTCAGTCCTACATTCTTCACTTTCCTCTTCTCCCTCTGTCTCCTGACACGTTTCCCTCCTCGTGGTCTTCGACTAACAGTAGCACAATTTCTGCCGGCACCCTGTTTGTCAACAGCACCAGTGGCAGTCATTGGTAACCCGGGCCTCAACCAATCTGGTATGGTTTTGCTTTGGTGAACTCGCATTATAGTTTTGGCCAAAGTGTTTTACATTGGATGTCCTTCCTGACACAACCCTCACCCGTGTTTGGGACCAGAACAAGAGATGCACTGGCTTGTGTTCCCTAGAGGCCGGTTTGTTCATCAGATTTAACTAACATCCTGGAAATGAAAATAAAAGGGATCAGACATTTACTTTCTAATTTGCAAACCCATTTTAATACCGAATTTCATTCAGTTTTCATTAGTTTTTTCATTTCTGGGGAAAAAAAGAAGAAGTTTATTTTGATTTAGTTTCTGAACTTCCAGCAGCCTGAAATAAAGCTCACACTTTCATCCTGCAGCATGTTTAAACATTACCTGGTGGCTCCTTAATGTTAAGACCTCAGTGAGGAGATTTGGCACAACGTCCTGATTTAAAAAAAACTGACTCATGTTGTGATGTCGAGCTTTGTCAAGTCATAATCTGGCATAAGAATCCTGACCGGTAAAATTTCAGTTTCTTCATTAGAATAAAAATCTGTTCAAAGTTCAGAAGCTGAGTCATGGTTCCTCATTTGTCCTGATTTAAAAAAACAAAACACAAAAAACATGTAGGCTATACGCCCATGCAGATGTGTCCCAACAGCAGCCAGCAATCAGAACCCGTCACATCTGGGAAGTGACTGCTGTCAGACATTTGACTCCCAGGTTTTGGAACAGAGTGAGTGGAATGTTTGTGTACAAATACCTTATCAAAGGCTGAACCTTGTTCAGATAAATACCCCACTGCGTCAAGCAGGTCTTCACTCTCCAAAGACACAAATCCATGACAGGTGGACGGATCAACATGGCTCCATCACCTCTGGCCACAGCAGGAATATTTCTCATATTTTACTCATTCTCATCAGCTGTAAGTCTTTTTTGTTCAGTGAAATAAAATGACTTGTGTATAATAATCTAACCTTCATGTCTCTCTCACATGTGCAGCAACCCAGAGGAGACAACATTGCAACATGCAACATGAATGATGGCTTTGTAAGCAAATGTCACAAACCATGTGAATGTTGTATATTTTTTTCTGTTTTAAGTCTGAACATGTCTCTTCACGTGATTTGTCTGTTTGAAGGGAAAGTACTGCCCCACCACATGTGGAGTTGCTGATTACTTGCTGAACTATTTACCAGGAGTGAATAAAGATTTAAACACAATGCAGCATGAACTGGAAAAAATTGCAAATTTGACTTATGGGGCCGAAGAAACGATTTCATACATGAAAGATTCGACAACCGCCGCTCAGAAATCTGCACTCCCAGGTAACATTAACCAGCCGGTTCCTATACGTCTTCTGGACAGTGGCACAACTAAACAAACACGTTTTATCGTTGTAGCTCTTCTTTTAGAACCTCTTCTGAACTCTTTTATGTATTTTGTTCAAATGGGATCCATAAAGACACAAACTTGACTCAGCTTGTGTATCACTGAGCCTTTTTTATTTTCAGATCCATATTATAAGAAGTCTTCGAGCATGTTGGATGATGTCCTTCGATTTGAAAAGACCATCATTACCCAAGAGCAGCAAATTAAGTAAGTTAATTTCAGTGTTTCAACCTAAGTTTTAAAAGTTTCAGTGTAATAACACGATTTTTAGAATAAAGTTACTTGAATATTTACACACCGTTTTATAAAAAAATACTCAAAAACATTTTACTGATGGGGTAATATATACTCTATTTGAATGGTTAATTGGTTGTGGATGACTCTCAGCTACTACCACATAAAACTTCAGCTCAGTATCAGTAAAACTGACTGAGTTATAGCTATTTGTGTGTTTGCTAAGGTCATTTGGCTGTGACCGCCATCTTGAAATGGGTTGTCCTAAAGTTAATCAGTTGTACATCAGTGATTACTTTCTGAAGGTTTCAATACATTTTTGTCCCCTATTTTACGAGATATTTTGCTAACAGATAGAAAGCACACAAACACAGTTTGTTACATGATCACCCACCCTTCATGGTGGGATACAAAGGAAGCAATTGTGGATTTATTTGGTTTTAAATGCATTAGTTGCTTGAAATCACATCATCCCATAAAGTTGGACACCCATACCTCTTTTCTCATGTTAGTATTTTTTTTCTTCCTTTAAATGTATTTATTTATTTAATGCCGTTCATAGTTTTGTCATTTTTGCCTATTTTGTAAAATTGAGGGATTTTTTTTATTGTTGTTATTTTCCAAAACTGTGCAACAAAGTGAAACACAAATTATTCAGAGATCAAACTACTTTTATTTGTCACCTTGTTTCTCAGCGAACTTCAAGAAATAATCGCGTCCAACGAGAGGAGAATGGCCGACTTGAAGACTCTCGCATTCCAGCTGCAGCAGAGATGCAGCGAGCCCTGCAGGGACACGGTTGAGATCCAAGACACCACAGGAACAGGTAGAAACAAATAATGTGCTGATACTCTGTACCTTTCAGGTCATATTTCACAAGAAGTTTCTCAATCTGGCCTCGACTGAACATTTGCCCCCGCTCGGTGTTTAGTTAAAGACTAAAATCGATATGCTGCCCGAAAGCTGAGCACACATGTTTATTTTAAACTAAACATGTTGTACCACCCTACTTCCCAAAAAAGTTGGGACATTATGTAGAATGTAAATAAAAACGAAATGCAATATTGTGCAGATCTAAAATCTCCTCATTTTATTCACAGTGGGACAAGGTAAAGATATCAAATGCTTAAACTGAGAAATTGCACCATTTGGGGGAAAAAATAATCTTTTTTTATTTATTTAATGGTAGCAACACTACAAAAAAAATTTAAACACTGTTAAAATAAGGTAGGTAGCACAAATAGAAAAAAATATTGGGTTAATTGGCATCATGTATGAGTCTGAATCTCTCAAAAGTAAAGATGGACAGAGGTTCACCAGTGTATTAAAATAGTGGAACAATTTCAGAATAATGTTCCTCAACCAAGCATTGGGAAAACTAAACATCCCATCATCTACACTGGATACCATCATCAAAAGATTTTAAGAATGGAGATGTGTCTGTGTCAAAAGATGAGGCTGAAAGTCCAAACAGGATGTCGGTGATCTGATCAAGGTCAAGGTTCTTTGTTGTCATTTTCATCGCATGTGGTACATGTGGTGGAATGAAACTGTGTACACAGGGTCCCAGTTACATCCAACAAAAGTATAAAATGTAAAAAAATAAAAAAATAAAAAAAAAACAGTAATAAGATCTAAGATATGAACTAAGAAATACGCTAAACTAAGGATACGCTAAACACTTAATAGGTTAAGGTTGTATTATTAATAATAATATAATCTGGGCATGCCGTAAGAGATTTATATATCATTGCATTATGTTTTTACGTTTTACACAGTGTTCCGATTTTCCCAGAATTGAGCTTCTATAGGTTTCCACTCAGTTGCATTATTACTTAGTTTGTATTTTCACCAGTGAAAATAATCTGACTCTGAATACAAACGGCATTTGTTTGAATGATTGTTTTCATTTTCAGACTGTCAGGATATTGCGAACAAAGGTGCCACCAAAAGCGGTCTTTACTTTGTGAAGCCAGCCAAAGCACCAGAGCAGTTCTTGGTCTATTGTGAGATTGACAGCTTTGGACGTGGCTTCACTGTGCTACAAAGGGTTTGCATCCGTTTTATATTATTCCTGCACATTTTCTAAACAAGAATACACAAGATGTGCTTTGTCAGTCTAAACACAAGCTTCTTTAAGGTGGGGAAAAAAAAAGGTCTTGGAGTGATCAAGGGTTTTGTGTCCACAGAGACGTGACGGCAGCGTGGACTTCTCCAAGGACTGGATCCAGTACAAGGAGGGCTTTGGTTACCTCTCCCCGGATGACACAACTGAATTCTGGCTCGGCAACGAGAAGATCCACCTGCTAACAACCACCTCGACCCTCCCGACTGTCCTGAGGATCGAGCTCGTGGACTGGGAGGGCAACAAAAAGTACAAACACACGCCCACACATAAAAATAAACAGATTACGTAAGGACACAGCAAAGAGACGTGATCACAGAGCAAACATGAGCATCAATAATTCGATGACTTTTGTAGAATAAAATGAAGACGAAAGCAGAGTTGTCTTGAAACTAAAGTCTTTCTGTTTCGTTGTTGTCGTGACCTTTTTTCTCCAGGTATGCTGACTACAACATGTTCAGAATTGGGTCAGAGGCTGACAAATACCGTCTCACCTACGGTTACTACTTTGGCGGTGATGCAGGGGATGCTTTCGATGGCTTTGACTTTGGAGACGACCCCAGTGACAAGTTCTACACGTCCCACAACGGCATGCAGTTCAGCACTTTCGACAACGACAATGACCGGTACGACGGCAACTGTGCTCAACAGGACCGCTCGGGCTGGTGGATGAACAGATGTCACGCTGGACATTTGAATGGAAAATACTACCAGGGTAAGACCCTCCGGATAGAACTGTGTGAACGATCCCTTTAGAACAGATCTTATGAAGTGCGGTCATGTGAATACATCATGAACAACTAGTGTCTTACCTGGTGTAGCGAGCTCTTTGAGCAGCCTCAGGCTGGACAAATAGATCTAACCCTGACTGGGTTAACAAATTGTCTTAGTGGAACCAAGACCAAACTGGAAAAATTTCAGAAAATACCCCAGGCATGCTACAGCTAGCTGCTGCTGCCAACTGCACTTTCAAATATCCTTAGAAATCTATATAAATAACAGTGTAATGCAAAACTGACAGCAAAATATTCATTTCTAAAACAACATTTGCATCAACCACTATAAAATGTTGAGATTAGAGCTACTTCAAGATGGCAGCAATGCATGCTGGTCTTGGCCCCACTCTGACTAGCTGTTAGCTCATCGTTTTGGTCTGAATTAATTACCGGTATATATATGTCTATGTCCATAGCTACAAACTTAGCACATGGACATGCGCCAGGTGCTAGTGGAAGCGTTAGTGGAAGCGTTAGTGGAAGCTTTAGTGGAAGCTTTAGTGGAAGCGTTAGTGGAAGCGGTAGCGTTGTGCAACAAAAAAACTTCCAGCTAGACTACAGTGCAGTGAATAGTTTAACGAAGCTTCAAGGCAGATAAATTTGCCTAGAGGATTTTTAGTGATCGAGGTACTTGAATTATATGAGGAATCGTTTCAACCCTACTTGACATTATAGTAAAGGTGTGTCTCAGTTGAACTTTTCCTTAATATATGCACTTTAATGGTCTAATCAGCTGCATTTTGGCTGGACAGCGCGGCAAATTGCAGCTAATATGATGTTTGCTCCAGGAGTTCCGGAGTGAGACGAAGGTGGCTTTGTATGGCAAGCCAAATGTCTCATTAATAGCCACTTTTACCTATTAATGAGACAGTTGGCTTGCCAAATTACTCAAGTTCCCTCTAGTGGCTGAAAATGATAGTGTTCAATATTGCCCATGTCAGAATGAATTAAATCGTCAGATCTCAGCCAAAAATTGGGTTATAAATATGGGGCAAAAACATAAATAGGTCACAGGGCATGCTAATTTATGAAAAAAGGTGTGACTTATACAGCAAAAAGTATGGTACTATTTCTCAAACTGAGGTTGTTCAAACAGCAATCTACAACCGGTAAGTAAATAATTGTATGTATTTGATCAAACCTACTTCATAAGATCAGAACTATCATTTTAAAATTCATAAATGATCTTATTTTGCATAAATGAGGCAACTCATTGTGCTTTTTGTTCTTTATCTAAATTATTACAATCATGTTTAGTCTGAACAAGCTGTCATGTTTATCCAGGAGGCAGATACACAGAAAAAGATGCTGGGGAATTTGGCTTTGACAATGGCATCATTTGGGTGACATGGCACAACCGCTGGTACTCCATGAAAGAAACCACGATGAAGATCATTCCCCTCAGCCGCATCAACGCACAAGGTGGTCAGCAAGCCGGGGTGAAACAGTTTGGTGGACTTGGAGATATTTAGAGAGGACAAATGTTCATAGTCTGCTTTTGTTAATAGACTTTAATTGTCAGAATAAACAGTTTCCATCTTTGCATGTTTTGGTGATCTGACTCAACAAACAGAAGAATTCTGATGTTCAATTTTGCCACCTCTTTACTTTATTGTTCTTTTAAGCACTCAATAAATGTATTTTGCCTACAGAGTATGGTGGCCATTTCTTTATGGGGCTCTATAATCTTAATTTACTAATGCATATCTGGATACATTTTGCAAGGAAGTTACGCATTAAAAAAAACAATAAATTTCAATGTTTTCTGCATTTTATTTGTTTAATTTATGTCTTAGGATTTAATGGACACAATGCTAATCAGTTAGGTATATATTCCCAGATAACACTAAGCGCCATCCATCCATCCATCTGTTATCTTCCACTTGTTCTGAAGTCGGGTTGCGGGGGCAGCAGCTTGAGCAGGGAGGTCCAGACATTTCTTTCCACAGTCACCTCTTTCAGCTCTTCTGGGAGGACTCCATGGCGTTCCCAGGCCAACAGAGAGACATAGTCTCTCCAGTGTTTCCTGGGTCTTCCCCAGGGTCTCCTCCCAGTCAGACATGCCCAAAGCACCTCCCTAGGAAAGTGGCCAAGGAGCATCCTTACCAGATGCCCAAACCGCCTCAACTGGCTCCTCTCGAAGTGGAAGAGTAGCGGTTCTACTTTGAGTCTCTCCCGAATAACTGAACTTCTTACCCTATAAGGGTTCAGCTACCCTGCAGAGGAAACTAATTTCAACTGCCTGTATTTGCAGTCTCATTCTTTTGGTCACTACCCAGAGTTCATGGCCATAGGTGAGGTTAGGAATGTAGACCGACCGGTAAATAGAAAGCTTAACCTTACAGCTCACCTCCCTCTTCACCACAATAGCCCAACACTGAGTGTGCAATACTGCAGACACTGCACCAATCCATCTGTTACTCTCACACTTCATTCTTCCCTCACTCGTGAACAAACCCAGAGATACTTGAACTCTTCTACTTGAGGCAGAACCTCACCCTTGACCCAAACAGAGTAAAGTCCCCAGTATACTGCCGCATACGTTCGTTCATGCGTACGTATGCGGCAGTATACTGGGGGCTTAATCCATCCTTTTATGACTGAGGACTGTGGCCTCAGATTTAAAGGTGCTGATTCTCATCCCAACCATTTCACACTCAGCTGTGAACCACTCCAGTAAGAGCTGAAGATCATGGCATAATGAAGCCCCACAGGACCACATCATCTGCAAACAGCAGAGATGGAATTCCGAGGCCACAGAACCGAACTCCCTCCGCCCCCTGGCTGCACCGAGAAATTCTGTCCACAAAAGTTATTAACAGAATCTGCGACAACAGGCAATCCTGGTGGAGTCCAACTCCCACCCTGAAAGGGTTTGACTTACTACTGACAATGCAAAACAACCTCCCACACCACTTGTATAGGGACTGAACAGCCTGCAGCAACAGTCCCCAAATCCCATACTCGCACAGTGTACCCCATAGAACACGGTTGAATGCCTTCTCCAAGTCCACAAAAAACACGTTGATTGGATGGGCAAATTCCCATGACCCCTCCAGAACCCTAGTGAGGGTAAAGAGCTGATCCAGCGTTCCACGGCCAAGACAGAACCCGCATTGTTCCTCCTGGATCTGAGGTTTGATCAACGATCTGACTCGCTTCTCAAGTACCTTTGAAAAGACCTTACCAGGGAGACTAAGGAGAGTTATGCCCCTGTAATTGCAGCACACCCTTCAGTCCCACTTTTGAACCACCACCCCAGTCTGCCAATCCAGTGGCACAGCCTCCATTGTTCACACAATGTTGAAAAGACATGTCCACCAAGACAGCCCCACACAACATCCAGAGCCTTAAGGAAATCAAGGTGGTGCTCATCCACCCCCGGAGCCCTGCTGCCACAGAACTTTTAACTACCTCAGCAACCTAAGCCATGGTTTGCCAGAATTTCCTGTAAGCTGACCAAGAGTGTCTACCCAAGGCCTCACCAAACTGTCCAAAACAAACAGCTGCAAATCAGATGACATGACTACAAAGTCTATCATCGATCTATGACCTAGGGTGTCCTGGTGCCAAGTGCACTCATGGACACCCTTATGTTCGAACATGGTGTTCATGAAGAACAAACCATGACTAGCACAGAAGTCCAACAACAGAACACTGCCCAAGTTCAGATCAGAGGCCATTCCTCCTAATCATGCCCCTCCATGTCACACTGTTATTACCCACATGCGCATTGAAGTCCCTTTACAGAATAAAGTCACCATTATAGATAGGGTAGATAGATAGAATAGAGTCCCCAGCTGGAGCACCTTCCAACATTCCAGCTAAGGACTCCAAGAAGGCCAGATACTCTGAACTGCCATTTGGCGCGTAGGCACAAACAACCGTCAGAGCCCGTTTCCCCACCCAAAAGCCCAATGGAAGCTACCCTCTCATCTACCGGGGAAAACTCCAACATGCAGCCACCAAGTCGGAGGGCTAAAAGTAGACGCATACCAGCTTGGCACCGCTCACCATGGGAAACTCCAGACTGGAGTATGGTCCAGCCCCTCTCAAGTATATTGGTTCCGGAGCCCATGCCATGTGTCAAGGTGAGCCCAACTATATCTAGTCAGTACCTCTCAACCTCACACACAAGCCCAGGCTCCTTCCTTTCCAGAGAGGTCACAGTCCATGTCCCAAGAGCCAGCTGTGGAAAGACTGGGTCAGAGCGCCGAAGCCACCACTTTTGGCCACTGCCCATGGAGTTATGTCCCCGACACGCATGGCCACTCCTGCAGGTCCACAGGAAGTAATACTAAGTGCATGCTAAGAAAATGTAACTGTGCTTCAAATAAAAATGAGCATCTTATTTTTAAAATATTGACTGACACTGATTTTAAATATTTTTATTTATTAACCTTTATTTAACCAGGCAAATCCCATTGAAATCACAGATCTATTTTGCAAGGGAGGCCTGGGCCTGAAGGCAGCCTAACATGCATGTTTTTGGTCTGTGGGAGGAAACTGGAGTACCTGGAGAAAACCCATGCAAGCACAAGAAGAACATGTAAACTCCACACAGAAAGACCTAAGGTCCAATCGGGGATTGAACCATGGTCTTCTTGCTGTGAGGAAACTGTGCTAACCACTGAGCCATTGTGCTGCCAATTAATTAACAAATTAGTCCATTAATTAGTTGATTTTATTTTTAATAAAATAAATAAAGATCTAGCATTCCTTAAAGGAACACACATTGCCCACCACCTTTCCTGCCACAGTTTTAAATCATCTTACACTGAGAAGTGACAGAAGAGACAATTTTATTATATCTTGGAAATAAGAGTATGCATACCTCACTCAATAGTGTGAAACCTTTTTTGAAAGTATATTTTGGGAACGTCTCAGCTGCTATTTTGTCAAATTGGAGCCTAATATGTGTAAAATAGTCTTTTTGTTGGTCAAGGTAGATTAGTTGTAGCAGCTATCTTGAATTGGGTTGACATAAAAAGTTAGTTAATGTCCATTCTGTATGTTTTTAAGAAAGACATTCATCAAAATTCTTCCAAAGATTCATGAGATTTTTTTGCTAACATACAGACAAATAACAGAAATGCATGCACATACAAGCAAATACACTAATGCCCATCTTTCAACATTGTGCTATAATACATCCACCTGGTTGTAAATACATGAATCCATAAAAGATTAAACAGTTTAATGACCCTGTTTGGTAACACAACTGCAAATCATTTGAAGAAGACTTGTATATTTATAACTTACCATGCATATCCATTAAAAATCATCTGCTTCCATAATTTTCATTTAATAAAAGCATTTATAAAAATTTTCTCCAATAATAACTCAACTGATGCAACAGTCATATTTTAAATGTTAAAACCTCAGGGTTGAATGAAATGTCATACAACATACATTTAAACTACTTGTACTTTCTCCTTCACTTTTCTATAATTTGTGCCTGATTTCTGAAGAAACTACCCCACCCCCATTTGTGGATTTTAAGGATGCATATATAATTGGATTTATGATAAATGGTTTCTGCTTTTTGATATTATATCACTGTGCAATGTCCGAAAGTAAAATGTAAACAGTGGCGGCTGGGTCATCCCGTCCGACAGGTGGCGCTAAATAGTTTTTCTACTCATTTTCAGTTGGTTTTACTTCCGGGTTATCGGTGTCGATCGGGTTTTAGTAGCGATTGTGCTTGTATGTTTCAGTTGTTCACAAGTTGTATTCGCTGACAGAATTGTCAAATTATTTTACTTTTGTGTATTGTAGAATAATTTACCCCCACAATGACGGAGGTAAGACTTTTTACAGGTTTATTATTACGTTTTGCTTGTCTTTACTCCAGCTGATGCTACGAAAAACTAATGCCTGGGCCCGACTATTTACTGGATTGCTAACGCATGTTTGTTTTTCTGATTGTATTGCGCACTGTGTATGAAAATGGGGGATATTTTGTGGACAGTGGTACATTCGATGTTTTTAAAGACAATGATCACCTCACACAGGATGTCCAGAAGCACTCGGTCCACACGCTGGTCTTCAGGTCTCTAAAACGGACCCATGACATGTTTGTGTCCGACCAAGCTAAGGGCATCGCTCAGGATGAAGAAAGGTAACTGAACTGTTATCTGTCTGGTTGTTAATATATTCTTTAAACTTTTTACACAGATAACTTACTGACACCCGGCGTCTCGGGGTGTTTTTATAACTATGTGTTACGAGTTCAGACAGGAAAGCTGGTTAACGTGTAAAATTGTTAGAGTAATAAAACCTTCCTAATGGATTTTAGAAAAATCATAAACTGCCCAGCCTTCTGTTGGTCTTTGTGAAATGAAAAACTTAGTTATCATGATAACTCATTTAAAGTTTAAGTGCCAAACAAATAAACAAATACTTCTCCCTAATGATTTGGTAGGTATTTTTGTATGATTCAGCTTTTACAGCAGATTAGTGGTATTGACAAACCTTTTGTGTCTAATCTGTAGAATTCTCATAAAGTTGTTTGGCTTAGGGAGGAATATATATGTAATGTGTGTATGTGGTAAATGGACTACTTATATGTATAACCCCTTTCTGTCTGATCAAGATACTCAAAGCACTTTACAACACAATCTCTGCCCTCATTTACCTCCACACACACATCCATACAGCACTTTACTACTTTACTAGATCTCCACAAAGCTAATCTGAACCTGTAGAGACTAATCAGTGCTTTAAATCACATTGTTAGGCTACCTTCAGGCCTCCCTTGCAAAAGAGATCTGTGATCTCAATGGGAATCGCCTGGTTAAATAAAGGATAATAAATAAATAAATTCATACACCGATGGGACACGTCAGAGGCACTGAGGTTCAGTGTCTTTCTTGCCCAGGGACAACATGTGACTGCATAGTGGTAGAATCGAACCATCAACTCTCCCATTGGAGGATGACCGATCTAACCACTCAGCCACAGCTGCCCCATATGCATGCGTGTTAGATAAATAGTGCGCGTCTAAACTACATTCATCAGCTATTTTCATATTTACTGACATTAGTATTATGATGAAAAGTTATTGATTGCACGCTGCAGCTGGGTGGTCTACCTGTTCAGTTAAAGTATAAAACCAAACGTACACAGATGTTGTGTAAGAGTAAAATTAACAACAAAAAAAAACAACCTTCATGTCCAACCATGATTTTAGAGACCGATGGGCTGGATCACGAGCCTTCAAAAACTCTGAGTGGATTTATTTATTTATTATTATTTTAATAAATTGTCATAAAATAAATATTTTGTTTGTACTATTTAAAAAATGTTGAATTATGGATCTTTTTTAAACTAAAGGCCCCTAAGGAGCTTAAATAAATAGGTCATTTAAAGTAGGATGTAGTTTTTAAAGACTGATTAGTTTATTGTGAACACATTTTAATAATTGTGTTTGTAAGCAGTTAAGTAAAGTGGTTTACTTTTTTTCTCCTAAGGAAAACTTGTCATAAGTTAAAGGACGTCTGTGGTTTAGTATTTAATGACAGTACTGATTGCGATAAACCCACTTTTTCCTCCCGTCTCTCTTTTTTTCTTCTGTGATCTCTGTCATCCGTGTGGACATCAAGGCCATGAGAGTCTGTTATGTTGAGCTAGTATTTAATTATTAAGAATATGAATGCATGGTAGTTGAAACATGATGACCTATGATTGAACGCAGTCCTTTCTTTGTGATATTGATATTTATCTTACCGATACTGTAGTGATGATAGATTTTCACTATATCCCTAGTAGGTGTTTATAAATACAACCACTTTTATTACTTTCTGTATTTGCAGCCATAAACTGAAAATGGGTGTGAAGCTAAAGGTTGAGTACGCTCCAGTTTTGCACATGCCCATTTTGAAAGAGGGGAAAGAACGAGTGTCACATTTTCCTGACAGCCTGCAAGGCCATCAGAGCTACGCCCATGCAGGTAAGAAGGAAACTGACATGCATGTAAACGAGTTAGCACTCAATCAAAAGAGTAATGCTGAAAGAAAGTGGACATGCTTTATGTGCTGGCAGGGGTTTTCAGTGGTCTTTTCATGAGTGCTTGTGCTAAAAATACAATGTTTTCCATTTTTATCAATATATTTTAGGTGATGACCCAGAGTACCTGATTACAGGGACACATGCGTATCCCTCTGGACCTGGTAGATACCATTTCTTTTTCTGAGATTACATTTTTTTTTGTCTATTACAGTAGAGTTGCCGTTGTTCAGTGCTAATGGTAACAACTTTCACTTTACAGGAGTGGCGCTGACAGCCAACACAATGGTGCACAGGAATCCCAGTGAGGGGGGAGTGCTCTCCATGGCGCTGGCTTTACCGCCCTCACAAGCAAGGTACATTTTCTGTGAAGACTGAGTCAGTGGCAACAAACCGAGATAAAAACCTTTTAAAAAGAGTTTAATGTTATTCACGTTCAGGCTGGACGCCAGCCGCACTGCAGCCAGCGTTGCAGAGATCCATCGACATGCAGGAGGAGCAGAAAGAGTTCACCCTCAGTCCACTGCTATAGTAAGTCGCATGCACTTGATCAGATCATTTGTCTCTGGAAGAAGTGCAACGCTCATAAACAAGGAATTAATAGTTTTTTTTTGCTCATCGTTTTTAGGTGGGGGTTGTGTGAAATGCTTATGAGCAGTCAATATCTTATCTGCAGTAGACAACAGTCATAGAGTACTTTGTCTGGAAAATGATTATTTGTAATGTACATACTAGAAATGGAGTATACTGTTTATATAAAGCCCCTTCTGCATCTAGAGAGAAT